TCAGCTACAGTGAATGTGAACGTGGCGGTGGCGGACAGCTTCCCTGAAGTGCTCTCGGAATTCACTGACTTCTCACAGGACAAGGATTACAACGACAACCTGACTTTTTATTTAGTCTTGTCTTTGGCTGTAGTTTCCTTTCTTTTCATTGTTTCTATCATCGTTCTGTTATCAGTGAAGATATATCGATGGAGACAATCTCGTTTGTTCTATCAATCCAATGGGAATCTCCCTGTTATTCCGAGCGCTTATTATCCTCCCCGTTACACTGACGTTGGTGCTACAGGAACTCTGCAGCACGTGTACAATTACGAGGTGTGTTTGACAACAGACTCTGGGAAAAGTGAATACAGATACATCCGACCATGTAGCCAAACTCTTCTTAACGCTGATGCCAGCGGGTCAGTGACTCTGCCTCATGTGCAGAAGGAGAAGAATCTCATAGATGACACAGATTCAGTAGAGGTGAGTGTTCACTGAAGCATTAATTGGCGAAACTGGTCTTTTCAGCAATTAGCTTAATTAATAGAGTATTGTTTTTAATGTTTCCGTGGTTGTTGTCATTCCGGAAGACAGGACAGGTTGTTAATTAGCGCTGCCTCTCCATTCGTTTCCTCAGTTTTGCACCTGCCTCCTTCAAGTGTATCGTCGTGAATTTTCTGTGGGGCCCTGGTTTCCTACTACATTCCAAATACCTCTAATTTGGTGTTTCAGATTTCTCCCAGTCTGTATGTCTGTCCTGCTGCGATTACTTTTTCTAATAGGGTTATCCGGTGTCTAAAATGGTGTATTTATATTTGCTATGACATAATTTGAAAAACAAAAATATGATTAGTGTCTAGCTTCATCGACTGAAATTCAGTTGTATACTCGTGAATTTTTGTTTTCTTTATAATTTAAAATTAAGTTTGTATTGTGTAGAAAAATGCAGAGAAGAATACTTGGTTTTGGTCTTAGATCCAGAGTTAGCATTACGTTTATAGTTTATTGAATAGGCCCTTTATATAATAACACAAATATATTAAATATTTCTAAATGTTATTAAGTATCAGTCGGAATAGAATCCGACGTATACAATATTGTCTCATGTATGTGTACAATGACAAGGTTTTGCGGTTTCTGTTTTGATCTCTCAGAGCCGCTGTTGATCAATTTGATTGCAGTAGAAATCCGTTGGTCTTTCCCATATAATCCATAACGCAAGCGACGCAGACACCCTATCGGCTGGATTGTTAATATTTTCTTTTACAAAGCTTTAAGATAATGTCAACGGTGTGTTTTATCTAGAATGATTTTGAAAAGGTCAGATATTATGAGATCGACGAAGAATGCAAAGTTCTGAAAAGCCTCCACAACACAAGTGAAGTTACCGTTGAAGTTTTTGATGTAAATGACAATGAACCAATTATAACTGCAATGTCTTTCACAAATCCCGTGATTCCTCACCCGGCAATACAAAAGCTATAATTAATGTAAAAGACATAGATTAGATTCAGGTGAGTTATTCCATTAATCTAAATCTTCCTTTTAAAATAAAATTGCCCTTAATCGTCCTATCACACTCTGGTAGCCTATACAATTTTAGATAGAGTTTATCGGAATAGAACATTACAATAATCGCTTCAAATGGAGACTAGCCCTCTCACTCCCGCCGCAAAAACTAAACCTTAAAGTATTAGATATGCATGTTGCTACCATCATTCATGAACACAGAAGATTGAATGATTTTGTTATAGAGAACAGCTCTCCAGGATTGTCCCTATTTTCGTTGAGAGCAACGTATTTGAACACCAACCATAAGGTTCACATTTCTTGCTCTATCGATGATAAATTGGTGAATGAGACTTCCACTTCTTCATCATCTCTTTTAATTATGATAGTGGTGTTATTTATGCAGTGCAGACTTTTTCCTTATGAACACATGAGAGACTGAGGATTTAAAGTTTTATCTCGAAATGGTGGATGTCCACCACTGAGCACTATGGCTACTTTAAATATGCATGTACAAGAGCAGAACGTGTTGGCTATCTTGTCACTAAAGTTGTAGCTGTTGATGCTGACTCTGGGCAGAACGCCTGGCTCTCATATAAACTACTGAAAGCGACAGACAGGGCGCTGTTTGAAGTGGGATTACAGAACGGAGAAATAAGAACTT